TGCAAGCCCGAGAGCCGGCCCGCCTACAAGCGCGGCCGCCGTGGCAGCGACAGCGAGAAGTTCCTCTCCGGATCGTACGCCCCGATCGGCGGCGCGAGCGGCGAGAACCGCAACACGGCCTATGGCGGCTACGGTGGCTACGCTCCTCAGCCGCGGCTCGGCGGTGGGCGGTCGGATATGGCTTACGAGCCGTACACCCGCAACCACGTCTAAGCTGGGCGGGACGGCTAGTTGAGAAGGTTATGAGAATGGACATCTTGTAATACTATTGCACAAGGATGGGAAGCGAATGAAAAGGGTTGATTTGCATTTGCCGGCGCTGGGAAATGGAACTAATGACGAGGAACGATAGATCTTCTGATTCAGAACGAGATCGGTCTGCGGACCCGCGATGGGTGGGATACCCTGACCGTTGCGATAGATTCATGATAATTGATTGCAACCTGAAGTAATTGAAGATACCAATGCCTCAAACGGTCTGATTGCGATATGTCTAGGACTTGTGATCGATGCATGTTATGATATCTACTACACGAAGCCCACCACCTAGAAAGCGATCATCACGTGCAAAATTTTCCAGCAACCAAACCTCACCTCCAGTTCGACTTCTTGAACATGTCAACGAGCTACCACCATATCTCATACCAAACTAGACCATAATACTGCGTCAATGGCAATAACTCTAGCAGGCTGACGATACCAAATCCAATGTTCCACGCCCAAACCGTGAGTCTCTCTGCCTGCCCCGCAGCGGCAATCCCCAAATATTCGACGCATTAAAAGAACGCCCACCAACCCCGCGATCTCCCAAAGACAATGGAATCATGCTAACAAAACCATCCCCTCCTCAGCCGCCACATCATGGCCGACTGCAAAGGGAACATGTGCTGGCGCCCATTACAGCGTTGGCCTTCTTCTCTTCCTCTGTTCTCCCCGCAGGACTGGCCGGCGTGACCGGCCAGGAGAGCAGCGAGCTGTACCTCCTCGCCGCTCAAGACACGACCATACACATCTACCACGTGCCCTCCGGCCGGCCATGCGGGCGTTTACGAGTCTTTGCCGCCCAGGCCATCCACGGGCTCTCGTCAGCCTCCCAGCCCCAGGCGCCGATCCTCGCATGGGGCGGGCACGCCGTCGCCGCGATCCCACGGGAGGAGCTCGAGGAGGCGATCCGCCGCCCACCCGGCCACGCAGCAGGGGAGGAGGCAGGGGTCACGGCGTCCCGGGCCCCGGACTGGATCCTGGCCGCCCGCGCGTCCCCGGCCGACCCCGCGCGCGTCGTCCTCCTCACCGCGCACAACGAGGTCCTCGAAGCCCGCCTCGCCCCCGACCCCGCCAGGGGGAACGGGCGGGAGCTGGCCCTCGCCGCCGGGGCCCGCTCGCCCGCCCGCCCGATCCTGTTCTCGGGCGACGTCGCCTGGGCCGGGGCGCACGCGGTCCTGGTGGCGGCCGGGACCGTGTTCGGCGAGATCCTGGTCTGGCGGTGCTCGCTGGCGTCCGCGGGGGGAGGAGACGGCTGCGCCGTCCAGCACGTGTTCGCCGGCCACGAGGGGTCGGTTTTCGGGGTGCACATCTCCCCTCCCCTCCCGACCGCCGCGGGGGGGAAGACGAAGCGGCTGCTCGCCAGCTGCAGCGACGACCGCACCGTGCGCGTGTGGGACATCTCCGAGGGCGGCGGCGGCGCGCCCGGGTGCGGAACCCACAGCCAGATCCACGACGCGCGGGAGACCGGGTTCGGAGGCGAGGAGGACGAGGCGACGACGAGCCGCTGCGTGGCGACGGCCATGGGCCACGGGTCCCGGATCTGGCACGTGCAGTTCCCCGAGCGGCAGCCGCGGTTCGCCGCCGAGGGGCTGGCCGAGCTGTTCTCGTTCGGCGAGGACGCCACGGCGCAGCGGTGGCGGCTGGTCTTCGATCCGAAGGCGCAAGACGCCGCGTCGATGACGCACCGCGAGACGTTCGCGAACCACAGCGGCAAGAACCTCTGGTCGCGCGCCCTGGCGTACTCCGACGCGGGCGGCCTCCTGGTCGCGACGGGGGGCGCGGACGGCAAGGTCGCCCTCGTCGACGCGGAGCCGGCCGCCGCTGGTCCTGGCTTCGGGAGATCGAGGACCATCGAGCTGGCGTTGTCGGATCTGGACCTTGCCTGCCATGGTCCGGGGACTGCGCCCGCGACGACCGGGAAGGGCAAGAAAGCGAAGGAGACGTTCTCCCGGTACACGTTCATCGCGGAGGATAGGCTCCTGGTCGTTACCAACACCGGCCGGGTGTTCCTGGGCACGTTTGCATCTGAGCTCCAATGGACGGAGCTGACGGTCGCGGAAGAGATACGCCAGGCCATTTCGTCGTACGCCGTACTTGAAAGCTCGCAGGCGGCAGCGATGGCCTTCGTTGGTACCACGAGGGGCGAGGTCTTCTGCTATAGGGATCGAGAGGGGGCCTCGCTTCAGCCACTTACCAAGGTCCATGGGAAGGTCACCGAGATTTTCAACCTCTCTCATGAGGGTAGTACATCGGCTAAGATTATGGTCACGGTTTTGAACAGTACGAAGGCGGAGCTATTGCAAGTGAACCCTAACATCTCCATCACACGACGGACCGAAGTTGCTTTTGAGGAGGGTTTCATTACCACATCTGCTACCTTTTGTCAAGACTATTTGGTCCTTGGCTCGAGGCTAGGCACGATATCAGTTCTCACCCTCACGGACGAGGGCATCTACACCCCTATTTTGACTTTCACAGTCAAGCTCAAAGATTCCATCACCTCCATACTTCCCCTATCTGCTCAGAATAACGGCGATAGGATATCCTTCCTCACAACCGGAAGAGATGGCAAGTTCAGAATCTTTGAGGTCGCGAAATCCGATAGTGGCCCGCTTCACACGAACCTTCTCCATGAGACAACACCCCCTTTCGGACCTATGATCGAAGGCGCCTGGTTCTCGTCTTCCTCCTCCGCTCCCAACCCGTCCACAACGCCCTCAAACGGTCCTAACGCAGACGAGAACACACAACAGGACCTCATACTCTGCGGCTTCCGCAGCCAGCAATTCATAGTCTGGAACGAGAGCCGGCGGCAAGAACTCGCGGCCTTCGAATGCGGCGGAGCCCACCGGAGCTTCGCCTTCACCCACAGCCCTAGCAACCCGGAGCTTGTCCGCTTCGTCTTCACCAAAGCCAGCCACATGCGGGTGTCCTCGCAAACGCGCGCGCCGCACCAAACCCTCAAAGCCGGCGGGCACGGGCGCGAGATCAAGGCCATCAGCGCCTCGTCGGGCGGGCGCGGCCGGTACGTGGCCACCGCCGCCGAGGACACCGTGATCCGGCTCTGGACGTACGGCCGCAGTGCGAACGAAAACGAGAGCGGCGACAGGGAACTCCGCTGCGTCGCGGCCCTCGAGAAACACGCGACGGGGATCCAGACGCTGCGCTGGGCGGGGGAGCGGTACCTGTTCAGCAGCGGGGGCAACGAGGAGTTCTTCGTGTGGCGGGTGTCCTCCTCCCCGCTGCCCCCCTCCCCGTCCGTCGCCGTGGTCTGCGAGGCCGCGTTCGCGGACCGCTCGCCGGCCGGGGACCTGCGGATCATGGACTTCGACGTCGCGCCGGCCGGGGACCACGGCTTCGCCATCGCCATGGCCCTGTCCAACTCCACCCTGCAGACCTACGTCTACGCCCGCGACACCGGCTTCCGCCGGCGCCAGCGCCGCGCGTACACCGGCGCCTGCCTCACGCAGGTGCGGCTCCTCCTGGCCCCCGACCACAACGCCGCGCCCGTCCTCCTGAGCGCGAGCACGGACGGGCACCTCGCCACCCACGCCGGCGGCAGCGAACCGGCGGGCGGCGGGACGCTGGCCGCGAAGCTGCACCAGAGCGCGATCAAGGCGCTGGACCACCGGCGCCTCGCCGACGGGCGCACCCTGGTGGTCACGGGCGGCGACGACAACGCGCTGGGGGTGGTGTGTCTCTGCCCCTCGGCCCGGCCGACCGTCCGCGGCAGGGCGGTCCTGCGCGCCGCGCACGCGGCCGCCGTCACGGGGCTGCGGATCGTGCGGCTGGCGCGCGGGGGCCGCGACGCCCTGGTCGCCACCTGCAGCTCGGACCAGCGCGTGCGCGTGTGGCGGCTGTGCGACTGGCAGGGGCGGGAGGGGGCTGCGCTGAAGGTGCAGCTCGTGGAGGAGCGGTATAGCGCCGTGGCGGATGCGGGGGATCTGGAGGTTTTGGGGGATGGGGATGGGGATGGCGATGGCGATGGCGATGGGGACGGGGAGGAGGAAGGCGAGCAGAGGGTCGTGGTTGCGGGTGTGGGTGTTGAGGTTTGGAAGGTTGGTGGTTAGATACAAGGGGTTGCGAATGGGGAATAGAAGAGCTCTTCGTTTGCCGTGGATGGTATTCCGGTCTTTCTGGGGTGGGCTGGTATTGGGCGCCCCTAACCCAGGGTCAGAATCTCTATGTGTCGCCGTGTGGGATCTCAGCGCAAGCCTGCTAAGATTGGAGGAAGGTGTTTTGGCTCTTGAGGCACTTGTACTTCGGCACATAGAGCCAGCCAAGGTAGGTACGGAAAGAAAAGAGGCCGTATGCAGTGCTATACCGTGGGTTCATGATTTCTTGAAAATGGCCGCCTCTTCGCCACGTCTGGAATCGTTGACAGTGATTCAATGCAACTCGGACGTATATGCATCAGTCTTCTTACCTTGAAGCCTTTGCAACAAGAACGTGCTTCTTGTAGGACTCCGCCTTCAGTTCCAATATTCAATGCCGAAGGTCTGCGTGTAAACCCAGTAAATTCTACAAGCCCTATGGGTCAGTCGTTTCCGTCCATTTGATATGCGGAACACCAGAAACTTGGATCAAAGTGTAAGGAATAATAAGGTCAGGAAAAGCGACTAGACCTGTACGGTTCTTGCGAATTTAACGAAAAGGGGTGGAGTACTTCACCTGAGAGCGAAGCCAAAAGGCGAGTCCTTGCAAAAAGGTAGAGTTGCACTGCAAAAGAGAATTGTTGGTCATTCTGGGGGTCGAACCCAGGACCTTCTGTGTACAGACATAAGACCGATCAAGATCTTTATGTAAGACAGACGCCATAACCACTAGGCCAAACGACCAATGAGCAATCAATGAAAAGTTTTACCATTATACACAACTATACCACTAGTACATCTTGTCTCCACACCAGTTTCCAAAACCATTTCAAACCCAAGGAGCGTGAGCTACAGCAGGCGGTGAAATAGTTCTTGCAGGCAAGTGAGATATGTCGATGATGCCCTGTAGTGAGAATAGAAGACACCTTCGTGTTGCTCTGTGCGAATGCGTTTGCTGTTGTTCCTGGAAGATTAGTGGAGTCCTTAGTTGAAGTGTCACTTGTGAGACAGCTTAAGCCTAATACCAATTCTCTCAAGGCTTACCTATACTGCTCATGCCTGACTGGATCCGTAAAAAGCCGACTGAATTACCCCGAGGAGGTTGGTGAGTTCAAGCATGCTGCAGCACGGATGGAAAGCAAGAATTCGGATTCCGTACCAAGGTAGAGCTGTCGGGTTGCAGGTAAACGGTTATAAGTGGGACCGAAGCTCTGATAGTGTAACTTTAAATAACGATGCCCATTCCCGTAAATAGTGATGCCCCTAGCCCGATTCGGATATTTGCACGCAAGCCACACGAACTAAGCCACGGCTGCCCCCCGGCCCCCCCGGCCCGCCCGCCCCCGAACGGGAGTCGCCATTCTAACCAAGGTCGCTGCACTTCAAATGCGTGCATCCGACCAGCCATTAACCGTATACCAAGATAACCCTGACCCTACGATAACCCGAACCCTAAACTAACCCTAGGCCAACCCTAACCCTAACTAACCCTACGTGTGGCCGTGGGCGCGAGTGCAAAAAGAGTGCAATTGAGGAGAACATCGCGTCGGGAAAGAACTTGTGACACCCGTGGGGGGATGTGTGGCTGTATCTAGATCAGGCTAGGGGCATCGCTGTTTACGGGAATGGGCATCGTTGTTTAAAGTTACACCTCTGATAAGATCTCTAACAGCGTCATGCCTTTCGAAGCCGAGCTCCCGCAAATTGTTAAGCGCCCGAGACACCATCTCTGAACACCAGCCGCCGAGGCCTCGAATACTGGCAAAGATGCAGTCAACAACGGCTCGGACGCTTCTGCGACGCAGCATCGTCTGCAGCGAGCCGGCACGAGGGTTTGTACGGTCAATTGGACCCTCAATTGCAGCGTCGATTGCCCAGCTAACAGGCGCGACTAGCACGGCAGCCCTCTTGCCAGCTTCCTCGCCGCACGCCGACCGATTGGCAGCCCGCGATGCCTAAACACCACCCCGCGTAGCCAATTGCTGGCTCCCAGCACCGTCCGAGCCATCCACACGTCGCCCGCGCTCTGGAAAGGCAAGAAAGAGAGCAAGAGGGAAGCGAGGAAGGGCGGCGCCTCCGCGCCCGCGACGTCTTCCCCCAGCGGCGACGAGGAGGGCGGCTCGAAACACCCGCCACCGAACCCGGAGGACCCGCTGGACATGGCGGACGTGAAGTCGCGGCTGGAGGCGACGGGCGCGCGGGCGCGCGAGGGCCTCCGGAAGGCGCAGGCGGGCGGGCGCTTCAGCGAGGACGCGCTGGGGGCGCTGCGGGTGGCGGTGGACAAGAAGTCGGGGGCGACGTACGCGCTGCGGGAGCTGGGGCAGGTGGTCTCGCGGGGCGGGCGCAGCGTCAGCGTGCTGGTGCACGAGGAGGGCTACGTCAAGGCCATCATGAGCGCGGTGCAGGGCTCGCCCGACTTCAACCAGCAGCCGCAGCGGGCCCCGGACAACGAGCTCGAGCTGGTGCTCAAGATCGAGCCCGAGAAGCGCGACGACGTCCTCAAGCGCGTCAAGGCCGCCTGCCACGACTGGCGCGAGCGCGTCCGCCAGGTCCGCCAGAAGCGCGACAAGCAGCATACCGCCTGGCTCAAGGAGAGAGTGTTTGGCCCTGATGCGAAGCGTCAGGCCGACAAGCAGCTCGAGAAGGTCATCAAGACCGCCATTGCCGAGGTCGATGCTGTGGAGAAGGAGGCTCTGAAGCAGGCGGAGAAGTAGCCTCGTGGTCTATTCAGGGACCAGGGACGGAGACTGGGAGCGGCTGTCGAAAAAGCTGTGCACATAGGTTGGGAGAGGCAAGGACGGCAGTTTGTCGTCATGTTTCCTTTGCTGCTCATACGAGATGCGGATACCATGTGCGGCTGTTGTATTTATACATTACATCTGATATATTCTTACAGACGTATGGTGGTGGTGGGGGTGGTACAAAAAGGGGGACTGGAGTCGAGAACCTAGAAAGCTGCCACCCGTCCTCAGGAGGTCTATATGTCCCGTTGTACACGTCCTTGCTCGTTTCCCCGAGGCCGTTATTTGTCTCTCAGAAAGAGCCCCTCACGCCTTAGCCTGCGCACCGGCACCACCTCTAGGTTTCGCCTGCGCCGACGTCGGCCCCGTGTATCCTTCCGGCAGCAAACTGCGAACCTTCTCTTCGATACGCCGGCTGGCATCGTTATTCCAGGTTCCGTCGCGGCGAACGTAGCTGCGAACCGCACCGAGAGCGTCACCGGGCGGCGCGTATTCGGGACCGTGTCCGTCGTAGCGACCGAGCAGGGCAGACTCGAGCACGGCCTGGCCGGCCTCCTTAGGGGGTCGCAGACGCTGTCTGCCGAGAATGCCGTGGGTCCACTGCTTGGCCTCGTCGGAGGGCATGAAGATACCTGACTGTTGGTGGTAGCGCAGGCGGACGTCGTTGGGGTGGTGAAGATGGGACTCGTGGTAGGCATCGCCACCACCGAGGACACGGGCAGCGCGCATCGCAGTGCCGCTGTACGCGATGCTGGTGTTACTCGCGACCGCGGGCATGTAGCCCGCCATGCTCTTCCTGACCTCGCTGGGCTTCGCCGGGACAAAGTCGCGCGTCGGCCCGCCCATTTCGTATTCCTCGCGCTCCTCCGTCACCGACAAGTCCTCCATCTCCGCCAGGTCATCCACGATTGCCCTTTCGGCCGGACCGAGTGACGCCTTCCCGCCCTCGCCATCATCGAGCTCCTGGTCGGACCGTCCGCCTTCACGGCCTCCACGACCCCCGCGCCCGCCACGTCCTCCTCGTCCTCCTCGTACTCCTCGTCCCCCTCGTCCCCCTCGTCCTCCTCTCCCACCTCGCCCTCCTCGCCCACCTCGTTCTGCCATATCGCCTCCTCCGCCCCGGCCTCTACCCCGGGCACCCCCGCCTCTGGAGTCACCGCCGGGACCGTGTCCGGCGCCTCCGAATCCACCGCCACCAGGAAGCCCGCGTCCGAGGCCACGTGGTCTGAAGCCACCGCGAATGACTTTGCTAGGGTCGGGACCGGTCGGTTGGAAGGAGTTGTCGTAGCCGTTGATCTCGATGGGCTTGACGCGCATGGCGGGGCGCGCGGTGGCGGTCTCGCGCCGGAGGTCCTGCTTCAAGAACGTCTCGAGGCGGTCCTCGACTTTGGAAAGCGGCTTGTCCAGGTCCATCAGATCCTCGTAGGCGGCGGCCTTGAGCTGGCGGCCCGAGGGGCGGAATGCGTCCGGCCCGTTCGTCTTGTCGTGTGAGCTCCGCTGCTGCGCGGCCGAGAAGTGCCGCAGCGAGCTGGCGATCCCGTCGGTCACCCGGTTGAATTCGGCCCTCGTGCGGCCCGCGGCCGTCGAGAGCGGTTGCCGAAACATGGTGGGCGAATCGATTGTGTGGTGAAGGATGGCTTGAACGGAGCTCGTTGTTGGAAACTTCGAGGTCGCTTGACTTGGGAGCTTAGATCGCTGAAATTTCGGGGCGCATGCAGCAAACCGATTCATTGATCTATCTAACCGAGGGGTTGCTTCGCGCTAGGTACGAAGCTTATGTGGGGCTTCAGCTGGTCCTCTATCTGATCCTCAGATTCAAAATCCACGCTCGCGGGAATACAAAACAGGTTTTGTCGTCATGCGCTTTCATTCATTCATGACAACTTTATACTGCTGGAAGATACGTTGTGATCCTCTCTTCGATTATAGTATCCACTCAATTCGATGAATAACTTGGTATCTTAGCTCTGCAGAGGCTTGTTCATACCTCCGTACGTGATGGTCTTGATGGTTTGGTACTCGTCAATACCATACTTCGATCCTTCCCGGCCGAATCCAGATTCCTTCACACCACCGAACGGTGCAGATGTGTCGGAAATAATACCGGTGTTGACACCAAGCATGCCAACTTCCAATGCTTCTGCTACCCGGGTTATCCTCTCGACATCCTTGGAGAAGAAGTAACCGGCCAAGCCAACTTCCGAGTCGTTTGCTAGTTCCACGACCTCTGCCTCGCTGCCGAATGGGAACAAGCCTGCAACTGGCCCGAAAGTTTCTTCACAGGCGATGGCCATATCGTTGGTCATGCCGGTGATGACTGTGGGCTGGTAGAAGTTCGATCCCACATCAGGCATAGCTTGACCTCCCACGACAACCTTGCCACCCTTCTTCTCGGCGTCCTTGACGTGGGCGTCGACCTTGGAGACAGCCCGATCGTGGATTAAGGGGCCGTGAGTGATGCCCTCCTCGAAGCCATTGCCAACCTTGAAACCCTGGACCTTCTCGGCGAACTTCTTGGCAAACTCATCATAGATGCCCTTCTGGACGTAGATACGGTTGGCACAGACGCAAGTCTGCCCTGAGGATCGGAACTTGCAGGCGACAGCTCCGGCAACAGCCACGTCGACATCAGCGTCGTCAAAGACGATGAAGGGTGCGTTGCCTCCCAGCTCCATAGACATTTTCTTGAGGGTGGAAGAAGCCTGCTTCATTAAGATCTTGCCGACGTTTGTCGAGCCGGTGAAAGAGACCTTGTGGATCGTGGGATGAGTAGTCAGGGTCTCTCCGACTTCGGGTGTGTTAGCGAGCGTCGTCACCACGTTGACGACGCCCTTGGGAATACCAGCGCGGTGTGCAAGCTCGGCCAGAGCCAAAGACGTATAAGGTGTCTCGCCCGGGGCCTTGCACACGGTGGTGCAGCCTGCGGCCAGCGCCGGACCAATCTTCCGTGTGATCATGGCCGCAGGGAAATTCCAAGGGGTGATCAGTCCGCAGACGCCCAAC